GGATGCTCAATAAACTTTGGTTGATTCAGCTATCCGTGTGAGTGGACATTCCTTTCATCTCCAGCCTCGGGAACCCTAAATGGGACTCTTAAATTGGCTGCTGGTCTCTGCTGGCAGGAATGTGGCATCGCAGCGGGCAGGACGGGCGACCGGAGAGGTTGTGTAGGGACAGCAACATGGCTACCGGATCCTTTTTCCTGCCTGCTGCGTTGAGTAAACTGAAAATGGGGAGTTGGGAAGTAAGTTGCATTTCCCCCCCGCCCCCCGGGTTTGATTTCCCTCGGCTCATTTTCAGTTGCTCCGTAAAGACCCCTAAACGGGTTGCAAAATTTCAGGGCAGCAACAGATAAGGAGCTAAGAGATCTCAAAATCTCACACCTTACAATAAAAAAGTACTTGGGTTGCAAAATTCAAGAGGACGCTGATGATAAAAAGCTGGAAATCTCAAAAGCTCCCGTCTTTCAATAAAAAGAAGAGGCTTCCGGATGCTTGTGATTTTTTTTATTTTAAGGCCAGGAGTTCGATTTTAATTTATATTCAGGAGCTGGGGTAATTCTCTGCCTTTAAGAATGTGGATGAATAGGAAGCCCTTTTTGCCCCCTAAAAGCCCCCTGCCCAGCCCACCAGAAAGTAATCAGATGAGATGAGATTATGGCTGGATGGTTCCCCATTTTTGCAATTCTTCTGTCTGGTATGTGGGTAGAAGGCAGCTGCGAAAAACAGATGCTTCAATCGAAAACCTTCCTCCCACTGATGACTGCTCTTCGCCAGGAATTTGGAGACTCTTTGGAGGATTCCAGTAAGCAGATAATCTTCGATTTGGATCATAATTGAGCCGGGAATTATGGCAATAAATTTATGCTGTTGTTAAATCAGGGCATCAGGTGACCGGACCAAGCAGTTTCAGGATAAGAACCATCAAACACGATCCGCCATGCCAAGCCTGACTCCTGGTGCTTATCAATTCCTGTCTGTTAGGAAAAAGAAGTGGGGGAACAGCCCCCCAAGAGCTGTGGAGGAAGTCCAAATAGGATAGAAACCAATGTGGGGGGCTTTGAGAAGATGGGAGATCAGAACAGGGAACTCTGTTCTTTCCCCCCCAAAAATGGGTGTTTCCCAGAGTCCCAGCCCGGTTCCCATTCCTTCATGCCCTTGCGCTGATGACTGACATGCCCTCTTGCCCTGAACATCTGGAGGGCCTCCGCCCATGAGAGCCTAACTTCAGAGAATGCAATCCAAAGGATGAGTCACCTTTCAATTTTTTTCCTGAGCCTTGGACAAAGCTTCTGCCTGTCCTCACAGCCACTGACCAGGGAAAACGGGGGGGGGGGTGTCCCTTCTTTGGCATTCCTAGGACAATCGCCCTGCACCTGGCACGGACGAGAGATTCACAGGCTACGTTGGCATGAAACGTTTGGACACAATCCATCACAACTGCTTGGATATGGCCATCTTTGGAGCAGCCTGATTTTTCTTAGCTCCCAGCTTTCTCTGGGAAAAGGTCTGGTTCACATCACCCATGTCAACGTCTTCAAAAAGTTTGGGGAAAGAGGCGGATGAATCGTTCATGTGTGTGTGTGTGTGTGTGTGTGTGTGTGTCCGTCCGTCCATCTATGACAATTTGCCACAGGGCAATTCGCTGAGGAGCAAGAGTTACGCTAATATGAAAGGAATGGTGGCATGCAGGCATCAAAGAAAGGACGGAAGGCAACGTGAATGACAAAAATTGTTTATTCATTTAAATAATTGAATTATTACCTCGTCCTGCTGTAAGTCATCCCGTGGAGAGTTGGCTGTGATGAGTTGATTGTGGCGACTTCTCCTGTTCTGGAATCGGTTGTGTGCGCGCTTGTGTATCCTATTCTTTCAGTCCCACAATCACCTTTCATCTTTTAGGCCATTCTGTGAAAGTCAGTGCCGGTACAGTCTGTTCTTCCAGCTGCCCCTTGCCAAAATGAACAGCTGTCAGGCTCCCCTCCTTTTCTCTGCCCCAGCCCACAGACCCTATTTTAAAAGACAGCTGTCCTCTCTGGTGTTGAGTCTCCCCCCTCCCTAAATGCAACGATCACGGCTGAGCAGAGGCAGTCTCCCCCCGAATACCAGCTGCTGAGGATAAAGAATGCCGGGTGATGGCTATCAGAGCCTAGGAATGCGTGGGGTGCATCGAGTGATGGGTTTTGGGGGGGGAAACGACAGGACAAACAGCCCTCTGGCCAGCGCTCTGACTCCTTTCAGTGTTGCAAACATCTCCCTGAGTTCCGAAGAGATGCTGGGGAACCAGCCATAAATGAGCCACACACACAAACACACAGCTTTTATATGTGGCAATGACTCAGGCCCCCCAATTCATATCAAAGGGAAGATTTTAGTTTTGGGGCGACCTCACAATCCCTCTCTCTGCAGCTGGGCGTCCCCTTATCTCATGCTCTTCAATGCCGGGTTTGGGTATTCTGGGTTTTCAATCACCCCTTCCCCAAATTTGAGCTCCAGGAAGCTGCGGTAATTGTTGGGCACCAAAGCCACGAAGCCGGCAAATTCAATGGGCACCAAAGGCTTTAAGAAATGCTCGGGAAATTCCATGTCTTGCCGGTGGTCCATCCAGGTGTCCTTGGTCATCACCCCATTCTTGGGGTAGAAGGGCCACAAGTCCACGTGCAGATGGTTGTGCTCGCTGTACTGCACCCGGTAGAAGTCTCCCTCGATGGCCTTCTCCCACACAAAGCCCTTCTCGTCCACGATGGAACCCGACTCGGCGCTCCGGAGCAACTCGCAGTTGGGAATATCTTCCAGGTAGATTCCCAGGTCCACGTCGTAATCCCAAGGGATGATGTCCTGGTGGCGGGCTGCCCCGAGGAGCGTGCCCCCCTCCAGCCAGTAGCGCACCCCAGAGATCTCCAAGATGTTGATGACGTATTTGGCGGTTTCCCTCAGGGCCTTGAGGCAGCACGGCGGAGTCCAGCGGTTGTGGTAGAGGTACTCCGGCGTGTCGTCTTGGATGGTGCCGAAACAACGCGGCGTCTCCTTGCTGCACCCAAACCACTGCTGTTTGCCGTCTTCCAGAATCACCTGCTTGATGCCGAAGTCGCGGAAGAGCTGCAGCTGATTGGACTTGTCCAGATTGTCGGCTTTCCACTGGTTGTGGGAGGAGGTGAGCAGCGGCAGGTGGAACAAGGAGAAGGGGCGGTCCAGGAGACCGACGGCCCACCCTCGCAGAGAGGTCTGGATGAAGAGGGAGGTCAGCAAAGGTTTGGCCAGAGGCATGGAGAGGTTGAAGAGGCTCCTGGTGCGAAGGAGCACCACGGCCTTCCCCTTCAAGGCGGTGCAGAGCTTGGAGGCAGGGGGCGTCTCGCTGTACTCCGCGGTCCATTCCTTGAGGCTGACCCTGAGGTTCAGGCAGCGGAAAGGCAGCGGGGAGTGGACCGCAGCTGCCACCATCTCCACTTTCCCTTGGCTGCTCTTAAGCTCCTCCAGCATCTCCTCCAGCTGCGACGGGGATTCCACTCTCACCCCGTCGGGTACCAAGGCCACATACTCCGTCCTCACGTAACTCTCCGGCCTGGATAGGAAGGCCGGCTGAGCCGGGGAAGGTTTGAGGACGACCAGCTGGACGTTGGGCACCTTGGGAAGAAGCAAGGGAGGGTAGGGCAAGCTGTCGGCTACCACCAGGATGGGCAGCTCTGGGTCCTGTTTCAGGAAAGACTTCACCACGCTGGAGACGTAGTTCTCGAAGTCTTCAAAGTCTCGGATCAGGAGGGTGACGCCGGGGCGGAGGGGTGCGAGGTGCTGAGGGTAGCTGGGCTGGGCGTGGTCCCTGTGCCGCTGGAGGACTTGCTGCTGAAGCCTGGAGATGTAGTACAGGATCAGGAGGTTAACGGCGATGGCGGCAGCCAGGATGCCCTGGCAGGAGGTCACCCGCATCTTGGAAGGTTAGGGTGGGGGTCGAGGGGTCTCGGCCTGTGAGCCCACAAAGGGTCCTGCAGCTCCAGACTTGTCCATCCAATGTTAGTTCCCCTGGTAGGCAGAGAGAAAGCAACAGAAAGATAAACGCTGAGGTTTAAAAAAACGGGGATTTAGATCGTTAGACCACCTGGAGATTTTTTAAATGCTGCCCCAAATTACACCAGAATCAAAAATAACAACTCCATTTTCATGAGAGGGCCGGCCTGGCGTTGTGGCAGAGGTGCTGGCCGCGAAACCAGGGGGCAGGGAGTTCCAGTTCTGCCTGAGAAACCAGGGGGCAGGGAGTTCTAGTTCTGCCTTAGCCTGGGAGACTTTGATGGGTTTGCGACCTTCCCGACGAGCTTGGCTTCACTTAACGACTGTGGCGATTTGCTTTGGGCCAATCGCCAGGAGACTTTGAGTTCTAGTTTAGCCATGCAAGGCAGCTGGGAGACTTTGGGCCGATCCCTCTCTCTCTCTCTCTCTCTCTCTCTCTCTCAATACAGCCTGCCTCACAGGGCTGTTGTTGCAAGAAAAACAGGTGGAGGGAGGGATATAGGTAGTCCGTGCACCATGACCACAAGGGAGGCCGGCATTTCCATCGCTAAGCAAGGCAGCTGTTCCAACGAACGGCCTGGCGCTACAACCCCCTTTTTTTTGTGGCACTGGTTGTTAAGCAAATCGCCACAGTCGTTAAGTGAAGCCAAGCTCGTCGGGAAGGTCGCAAACCCATCATCGCTGCAACTGTCCTAAATACGGGCCAATGGCCGAAAGCGCCCAAAGTTGGATCACAGTTGGGCAAAAAAACCCGGCCACAAGTCAACTTTTTAAAGGGTTTTCAGGTAACCGTCGCCAAACTGATGGTTGTAAGTCGAGGACTACCAAAAAACCCCGTATTAGATCGTTCTGGAGGCATTCAGGTACTTCAGGGGTCCCCAAACTTGGCAACATTAAGACTTGTGGACTTCAGCTTCAATAAATATAATAGGAATAAGAGGCCTGGGCTGCCTCGAGCCCCTTTTTTTGGACTTCCTGGCCCTGAAAGTCTCTTGGGGGGGGACAAAAAAGAGGATAAATCCCTGGAATGGCGGGAGCGCCCTCTGCGTATGCTCAGAGGCCCCTCTTCCTTTTCCCCCTCACCGCTAGGCCCTCCGTTGCCGGGGCAACGCCTCCTCCGCCCACGCCCCGCCCCTCTCCAGTTCCACACGGGGGGAGGGGGGCGTCCGCCTCCACGCGCGGCACTTACGCGTCCCCCGGCACCATAACGCCTCCCGCTTCAGAAAAACCCCGCTTAGGTGTTGGGGGGGAAACACGCGTGTCCGCGTACCGTGAGGACGGACTTCTATTTTTTTTCCCCCCCCCCCCCCCCCCCCCGCCACACACACCCTCAACCGTCAGCATGGGCCAGTCCCGTGATGCTTTGCGCGGCTCGACGCCGCCTTCCCGCGCTGCAGCAGCGCCTCCTAGCGGCGGAGAGGCAAAGAGGCCGGGCGCGTTGCCCCGGAGACGGCGCTCCGGCGCAGTGGTCGCGATAGCAACCGCGGCTCCCGCCCTCTCCCCTGCCGCGCGCCTCAAGGCCACTTCCGGCGCGGCTCCCGTCGGGCCGGAAGTGCGGCCTGCCGGCGCGCGCGGCCCCGTCCCTCAGCCGCGCGCGCGCGCCCGCCCTCCTCCTCC